TAATACAAAATTGCGTGGCATAATAAACAAGGTAGTAACGTGCTAATATCTAGACTTACAGATAATATAATACAATATTATAGTTGTTGCAATTCACGAAGGCGAGTGAGCTTTACATGTGTGGTGGCTCGCTACTGTTCGTTCAAAAGTTTTGATACACATTACACTATCGTTATGTGCATGTACACGTACACACAAGTAAAGCTCACTCGCCTTCGTGAGTTGCAAGAACTACGTAAATATAAAACTGCCACGCGGTCTCGTGCTAGATGGGATTCTTAAGGCCACCTTCTATCAACGGGAACGCGTGGTAAGTAACTTGCTTCTGAATGTATTGTAACTTCCTAGTTTTTTATATTTTTAAACCGGCAGACAGTGGTGACTGAGTTTGTTGCGGCGCTTCTTCTCAGCACTTGCCAAATGTTTGTCTCGAAGCGCTGGTAGGGCAAAAAAAGAATGAGACATGTATAGGCTCCTTAAGAGCATTTGACGATTTGCAAGTACTAATTTAATTAGTCTAAACATTTAAAGATAATTATTTTGATTTTGATTTTATAGTAATGACTCGCATATTTTGGATAACTTGGATTGACCAGTCCCCGAAAGCATCGCCTTTACTGGTTTCTAATACTTAGATCAAACTTTCAACTTTTCTCAGTCAACTTGCATCAGTATTCCCAATTATTACCAAACAAGCACAACATAAGCAAAATTATACCCCGGTCGTGGTCGTAGAAATTTATGAGTCTTGCCGTCTCTCTCCCACTCGTGTAAAGCATAGAGTTCGACCGTATATCCGTCCTGGTTGAACCACGCTTGCGCGGTGGAAAGCTCCTTTGTTCGTTGCCAATATACATATACATATAATATATCTACGGTTGCAGTGAACTAAAGTTATGTTAAGTATTTGTTCGGCTACAGTTTAGAGTTAAAAGTATGGTTAATTGGGGCAGATTAAACCATCTTTGGTTATGTAATGAAATCTTTCCAGGATGGTTAATGAAAAAGTTTTATATTTTATTATTATGGATCTATTCTGTTCGTTACACATACCTATAGCCAGTGTCAAGAAAAACTATAATTAAAGGAAATATAGGAAAGGAGAAAGAAAGAAAAATATGTTTAGACTATTTGACACCATTCCCAAATAATTCAAAATCACAACTTTTTTAAAAAGTCTACTTTCTGGTCTTAAAAACTTAATTAATTTTAAATTACCAGTAAATTAGGATTTTTGGTATAATTGAGTTGACAAATAGTAAAGCCACTTGCTTGTATTGCCATACTAAATGTATGGGAGAGACCCGTTTTGAGTATTTAAAAGTCAGGTTTAAGAATTTATTTCTCAAAAGAAATTGTACATTTCACTTAAAATGAGAAACAAGGTATTTCAATTATTTACTAAATGTAGGTAGATCTTAAAAAGTACATCAATTGATTGGACTGTAACTTTTTTTTCAAATATTAGGATTCACTTAACCCCTCGTGGTAAGCTAAAACATGATTGTGTTACGAGTGACTAATTGCGATTAGTAATGATGATGATGATACCAAAGAACCTTTTATTTCTTTAATACCTAAGAATAACATGAAAGATTTACCCTAACTTTGTATTTATAGTTTTCTCGGTCACTTAGTCCAGAAACTGCCCTAAAAAGTTTTATACATAACTTGAAGGGACGTCCAAAGTTTGACCCTTAAAGTAAAACAGTCTACGAAAGCCCTTTTCTATACTAATATTTTGTTTGTTTGTTTGTTTGAACGAGCTAATCTCTATAACTACTGGCCCAATTTGAAAAAATATTTTTGTGTTGGATAGCCCATTTATCGAGGAAGGCTTTAAGCCATATAACTTTACCCTACAGCCAATAGCAGCGGAGCAATAAAGAAAAATGTTGCGAAAACGGGAATATTATTTAAACTATTTTCACGCGTACGAAGTCGCGGGCACAGCTAGTATCAAGTACTCATACTTCAACTAACTATAAATTATGTACCAAAATTGTATTTTATACTTGTTATACTATAAGACCGTGGCAGGGCAGAGAGAGTTCTTATACTAGCGGCCGCCCGCGACTTCGTACGCGTGGATCCCGTGGGTTGAATTTTGCAAAATCCCGTCTTTGTGAGCACCTTCATTCTAAAAGGAACCCCCATGCAACATTTGACACTCCTAGCACTTGTAGTTTCTGAGATTTCGTGTTGAATGAGTGAGTCACGGGACTATTCCCACCTCTCGTTCCCACCACTGCAACTCCTGTGTAGCCAGGATCTACAGCTTGACCACCAATAATACCCAACCAGTGAATGACAAATTTGTGAGTGAGGGAATCAGTGACTTTTCGCTTTTATATTATGTACTAACCTTACCCGCGTGAAATTTAGTTTGTCACAGATTGTCATAGCCTATAATATGTTAATTTGGGTTATAAACAACTAGCGGCCGCCCGCGACTTCGNGAACATTTCAACTTTCAAGTCTCTTACTTTAAAAACCGAGGACTGCAATACAAACTTCTAACCCCCTTTTTAACTCCTATAAGGTTTGAATTTTGCAAAATTTCGTTTTAGTGACTACCTACGTTCTATAGCGACAATTTAGTGTCCTTTGAATTCATTCTGTGCCTTTGATCACCCACGGATACAATGTCCTAGGTGAGCCAAGTGGACTCTAGTTAAATTATTATTTTAGTGTCTTTGATTATCTACAAACAAATCACACCTCCTCTGAATAGTCACATGTCCAATTGTTGTACTACATATTTTGTTTTGTAACATTTTTGATATTTTCTAAAAACCGCAATAAACAAATTGAACATGTATGTGAAAATTCAGAGGTATAATTTATTTATAGGTCAAGGTATCAAAGAACACTAAAAAATAATTTAACTGGAGTCCACTTTAATCATCTTGGTGATCAAAGCCAGGTGATCAAAGTGGAATAGACCATTAACCTCTATGAGAACTCTTTTGAGACTTGTAGTTTCTGAGACTTCGTGATGAGTGAGTGAGTCACTTTAGTCATTCAATGACCTTTCTTTCTACTAAAATTATACGTACCTACCTATAGTAATTATCATGAAAATCAAATAAGTATATAAGTACCTACCAACCTAAGTAATTAAAATAAAGACCCTACAAAAAAATAACAAATTACATACAGAAAATAAAAACGAAGTAATTCTTATCCTATTTAACTACAATCGCCCACGCGCCCATCCCATTTGTCCGCCGCTGAACCGTACCTTAATATTCATCTCGGTAGATGGCGGCACATAGTAAGAATTTGCAAGGAAGTTTGTAAAAGTCACTAATTAACACTTTGATTTGCTCGTTTAAACACAGTGAATGATTCAAATAGGTACATACAGTGAATGGTTTAATTACATAAAATATCTTTATTTATTAAATTTTCAAAATTAGGTATTTACGAACAGCGCTATTCATAGCATGTAATATTTAGTTACTAATTTACTAATGATGTCGATAGATGGCGTTTGACAGCTTTGCCTTCATGAATATTTACGTACCTCAAAAATGTTTGTCAGGCGCAAGAAGATTTTAACCAATGACGATAGATGGCGCTTTTCCACGTCTTATGAAAATCCCAAATATTTTACGGGACCCTATTTTTTTCCAAAATAAAATTAGGCCTATGTTACTCGTGAGTTATGTAGCTTTCGAATGGTGAAAGAATTTTTAAAATCGGTCCAGTAGTTTTTGAGCCTATCCATTACAACTAAACAAACAAACAAACAAACAAACAAACAAACAAAGTTTTCCTCTTTATAATATTAGTGTAGATAAACACAAAGAGTTGGTCTTTGTTTATTATTCTAACACTTTATTTATCGAGCATATTTAACGGTTAGTGCTTTTATAAATCGACTTTGTCAGCTTCTAAACTTTAAGATTTATGTTACTGTTTGGTTGCATCAGAGTTTTGTGTAACAATTGACTGCTCGTATTGGCTNGTATTGTAATTGAACCAAGGCTCCAGCGTTGCCAGACGTCCCGATTTTGGCGGGACGTCCCGATTTTTAAATCAAATTTAAATGTCCCGCGCGGGACAGGCTCGGTCCCGCTTTTCAGAGAGAGACTCACTTCACCAGACTATTGTTTGAAACGCCATATTATTCTAAAGAATAAAACTTTTTTAATTTCGATTTTTGTTTTTTTTTTTTTCTTTTTTTATTCTAAAGACGAATTTAACAATAGACTAAACCTAAAAGGTATTTTTTTTGTTAAAATACATTTTCTATGGCTACTTTTGCTATCTATTGTCACGTAAACGTAATTTTAGGTCAAATAAAAAGATAAATATTTGAAAACCTTTGATTAGATACGTTTTTTTACTATGTCCCGCTTCTGACGGAAGAATCCCGCTATTTTCACTCAAAAAGTACCAAAGTCCCGACTTGGCGAAAAAAAAAACTGGCAACGCTGCAAGGCTCTGAGATTGAGATACTACTAAACAATTATAATAATTAAAAAACTTTTTTAAAAACAAGCTTTTATTCTGAAATGCAGTTGTACTAAAACGAAAAATAATTTCGAAAGCTTGTAGCGCAAATATATAAAAGAGGAATAAATTCCATGCGCGATACAAGCTTTCGAAATTATTTGAACCTTGCATTGCATAGGTACAATTATTTTTTTCGTTTTATTATCATGTGTTAACGGATTAACGATTAACGTTAACTTGCGTTAAATCTTACGAAATGTAACGTTTTAACGTTTAACGAAGTTAACTATTTGATTAACGATGCCCAGCTATGAGTGTAAGGTGTTAAGCTTAGCATCCTTTTCAGCCAGTGAAAGTAAAGAACTCTAAATTGCCTTTACACACAACGGACCAGGACAGTTAATTGTGGAAAACCTTGGGGGAGGCGAGGACGATCGAACACAACGGAGAAGCTCTTGGTCTTCAACTCACTTGATGCAAAAGTGATCAAGCCTCAGATAGAAGCTTGCGTCACTCCTCAACCCATATGAATAAAGTTGCTTTTTCTTCATCAGGACCCAGACGTGATTGTAGGCAAGTTCACCAGCCTGTCCGACCCAGTCAACACCCGCCTCACCACGTGCACCTTCGGCAATGACACGGCCACTCACTCCAATCCCTCGGATAAGGCAGCCCTCACGTTTCAGTGGGAGGCTCCCTCTGACTTCTTGGGAGGAGTGGAATTCAGGTAGGAGATTAAAAATTGGACTTGTCCCTCCTACAACACATCACATTGCATTGTCTTGGCTATACAACCTGGTCGAGTTAACTGCTCACCTTGCTGGAATGCGACTCAGTGGCGGCGTAGCATGGGTTGGCACCCGGGGCGATTACCCCCTTCCCCCCGTAATAAGTCCTAAGGCACCCCCTGGTACCCCGCAGGATTTTGGGGTTACCTACCGATTCGAAGATTGAAAGACAATCGCACCCCCCCACCCACAACCCCCCCTCCCCCGTATCATGGCATAGACCGCAGATTTGCCATGCAGATGCGCCAGTGAGAACTAATCTGCGCGACTTGTGTCACCCCCTGATGCTTGGCACCCGGGGCGGACCGCCGCTACTGATGCGACTCTTCCTCGCACAAATCCCCGCGTACTCCCCGTTCGTATCAGAGCGTCGATGTGACGTCACGGCCCCTAGGTGCGCAGTTAACTCGACCAGGTTGTAAGTCCCAAATCGAAATCTCAAACACACTTTAGGTACCTATAGTTAGGTAAGTAGGTAGCCCTCTTATGTGGTTTCTCAAACGGAAGGCCAGTGGTTAGTGAGTTGGTCTTTCTCTAATTGCAATCGGCCAGCAATCGTCGAAGAACCCAAATCGCAATTTAGAATTTTACCCCCTTACTTATAAAACTTACACGCTCATTGAACAGTGTTTTAAAGTGACGTTTAGTATGGAAATGTAATTTTAAAAGTGTTCAACAACTGTGTAACTTTTTACTGGTAAGGGGGTTAGACCCCAAGCAGAATGCATGTTTTTGTGTAACTTGTTGCCAATCTGGTTAAGCCATTACATGAATTGAAATTGGTAACTGTTATAAATAAATAAATTAAGCTGGTCCGAAAGGAAGTAGATTTAGGGCTTCACATGAATTTCGTGTTTTTAAGGAGGTCCGAATAGTTTTTATCTATAAAGGTTTACAATAACTACACTTCTTGCATCTACTGCTACTCAGTCAAAATTAAACTACAGTAAAATATTCTCACTCAAAATATTCGTATGATCAGAAAGGACATTTTATTAAAATAACTAATAACACTTTCCAGAGCAACTGTAGCTCAAAGCTACGCGACGTTCTGGAAGAATGTGGAATCCAAAGTGGTGGAGGTGGTGAACCGTAACACTGTGATCACCACCACGTCACCAGCCCCTACCTTCCAGCCGACTACTCAAGCCGCGCCGCCCGTGATCATGGAGAGCAGGGTAAGTTGACAAAGAAGCCTTTGGCCAGAGGCCTCAGCAATAAGACAAGCCTGCATTATCTACAAACAACATTGCATGCATACTTATCCATATCAATCAAGGAGTGCCGATGTGCCGAACCACTGACCCTTCAAAGCTCAGGTTTTCTTATTTTGAAGGTGAGGGGAACAACCAGTTTGTTTAAACACGAAGTTTGTTAATATGTGTTTAAGATAACTATGTACAAATAAACTATTTATAATTTATTTATCTTAGATCGCATCTGCATCATTCCTATGATGTTGGGGTATTAGAGTTTATGAGAAACCTAGTATTTAAACTTCAAGTCAAAACTAAATCGCCGGCTATAATAAATGTAGGATGCTAAGTACCTTACTTTCATGCTAAAAGAAGATTAATGTCATGTTGAGACTAGTGTTTCTCAAAGTTTATAATTCAAGTTTAAAAATCATTCTTTCTGCCTTCAGCCAAGTCCGCCCACCGAAACCCGCGACGAAATCTACCAAGGCTGCGCAGACACCAAACTGTGCTACGGTATCCCCGAAAACTGCATCGCTAGAGGCAACTGCGATGCCATCGTAGCCGTCTTCGTTGCTGGTGACATCTACACCTTCGAGATCCAGGGAACTAACAACCCTAAATACATAGCTGCTGCTCTAAGCATGGACAGCAAAATGGGCGACGACAGCGCCATGGAATGCGTCAGAAACGACAACGGAAGAGTCAGTCTTTTCACGTCGTGGACTTATCCTAAAGTAGAGCCATTCGTCAGAAGGTCAGACTCCCCACAAGATATTGTCCAGTTGAAGGAAAGCTCGAATATCAATGGGAAACTGTACTGCAAGTTCACAAGGGATGTGGTTTCGACAGTCAAGGGATTCACGTTTGATTTGGCGGGCGGCAAATACAACCTGATGGTTGTCTCTGGTGATAGCATGAAAGGTAAGCTACGAGTACCTAGTGCTAGGTCTTGGCTTTTCTTTTATCAATTTTTTTCTAAGCGACTGCTTCAAACTTTAAAAAAATTGAGCCTAATAACCTTATCAGTAACATTTTCTCAACCAAGTAATAGGTACTTAATAATGGAGATCGACTCTGCTGTCAACTTCACTCATGTCATTAATTTATACCTTTGTCAGCGTACATAAGTAGGTAGTTGCGTGGTGATGAGTCTTTTGAGACAGTTGCTCGATCAAACCAGCTCCATCACCACTTCTGATGAACTGGCCGATGATGATATCAGATGCAAAGAAAAAAACAATTTATCATCATCATCATTTCAGCCAGACACAGAATGTCCACTGCTGAACATAGACCTTCCCCAATGATTTCCACATCGCCCGGTTGGTAAAGTCCGGCCGCCGAGCACATAGAATTTCGTCCAATGACCCCAAGTTACCCATCCTTATCGCTCGCGTGTAATTATATTGCTCGCTCACTCACTGCGGCCGCCCGTCGTACAGTCGCGATAGCAATAGGTACTCGTATAATTACGCGCTAGTGATAAGGATGGATAGCTTGGGGTCATTGAACGAATATCTGATCGGCGACCTGACTTTAGCGGCCTGCATCCAGCACAGTTTACTTTAAAAATTTACTAATTTTCAGAGGCTGACCGAGTAGGCTTCCACTCTATCGCTTTCGGTGCTACCGGGGAGTCTCTGGCTTTAGCTACGGTGGGAACTGCAGCTGGTTCCTCCAAACTCCTCGTGAAGTTGCATGGATCCTTCATGTTGCTGGCCTGGTTGGGAACATCGTCTATTGGAATATTGCTTGCGAGGTAAGCTCCAGAATGGATTAGCTGAGGTGGCAATGGGCAGGCCACATAGTACGCAGAACTGACGCCCGATGGGGCAACAAGGTTCTAGAGTGGAGGTAATGTACCGGAAAACGCAGTGGGACGTCCACCCACAAGGTGGACCGACGACCTCACAAAAGTAGCAGGAAGGCGCTGGATGCTATCAACCGGTCAATCTGGAAATCATTAGGGGAGGCCTTTATTCAGCAGTGGACGTCCTGTGGCTGAAATTATGATGATGATGATGATGAAGCCCCAGAACGGAAAAACAAGCACCTAGCACCTTCTATTAAGGCTTCACTTTGCATAAAACCTCCTTTACCTGGTAAAGGAGGTTTACGAGGTGGTAAAGTTTACCACCTCGTAACACAGGGACTTACGCCCGTATTCATGAACGATACTTGCTTAAGCGAAGCAGCAAATCGAACACACAGCGTTGAATAGACCTGTGATTGGTTCGTATGTCACCCTGTGCATCCACGTGAGACCTCATAGTAATGTTTGTGAATACGGGCGTTAGTAATAATGGCTGTTGTACCTACTTAGGTAGGCCGAGTTGCACCATCTAATTTTGACCGTAACTTTGACGATAACCGATGTTTTTGTATGGAGTTTGACAGTTTTTTGACGTTTGTTAAAGTAAGATGGTGCAACCCAGCCTTAGTGTTTTATAAGCCGCATATTTATATCCATCAACAGAAAAAGACAATCATTTTTTATCAGTTAATAAAAAGCGTTTTCTTTGTTTTTCAGATACTTCAGACAAGTTTGGGTTGGCAGACAGTTAGGCGGCAAGGACATTTGGTTTGCTGTAAGTACCTTCTTATTTATACATATCATTTTGCTAAATGCGTAATGCTAACAAAAACCTCGTAGAAGGTCAATACAATCCACAAGAACTTGATGATCGGATCATTGAAGCATGACTTGACCGTGAACCATATAAAAAGTAGCACCTGAAGCACCAAATATAGCTTAGGTAAGTTACCAATGATCCCTCACTTACTTAATAATACTTATGTAGCAATGGGCAGGGTTGTATGTTGTATCGTTTGCTGTATCAATAACCATTGCAGAAAAGAGTGCCCGCTTGGATAAGACTGCGTAAAGTCGTGTGTTTTTTCTAGGTCTACGCCTAGTTAGTCAGATATTATTTATAGGACACTTATGCCCGTTTTCATCATCAATCCCTAATTTTTAAGTGATGGTAACACATAACAGGAATTTTGTTTTCAAATGGGTAACTTAAAAATTAGGGACTGATAGTGAAAACGGGCATTAAACAGGCCTTTATAGCTTACTTTACCACCATTTCGACACGATTATGTTACATCGTCTGGTACCTACTGAGAATGAGTGGAAGAACTTTCCACTTCTAGCCCTACGTCCATCGTCATTGGAGGACATCTAAATAAAAGGCTATTTTTAGCCTGTATCTCTAGCACGAAAAACTTTTCACTTCGAATCGTTTCCGTATTCGAATTGCCATCAAAAGATTTAGTATGAAAACTTAAACAGCGCCCCTGTGAACGTGATGTAAAGTGAACTTAGCTAATTTAGACAATCGAGAACGTCACGTCACATTATGGTTGAATTCGAAGGCTGGGTATCGAATTTTGTCGAATACGCAAACGATTCGAAGACGAAAGTTTTTCGTGCTAGAGGTAATACTGAGCTGATGATATTTTGTTATACTTAACCTGTGTATTTCATGTTCCAGTACCACCGAATCCTCATGGTGCTGACGTGGCTGCTAACAGTCGTCGGCTTCATCCTGATCCTAGTAGAGGTGGGCGGCTTCGCCACGACTGGAGACAACCCTCACGCGATCACCGGCCTGGTCACTGTCATACTGTGCTTCATACAGCCGATTGGTGAGTTTAACCAAATAACTAAAGCCCTGAAGCCCATTTTGTCCATTGAACCCAAGCTACCCATCCTTATCTCTCGCGCGTAATTATATTGCTGTCGCGACTGTGCGACCGGCGCCCACAGTGAGTGTGCGAGCGCAACAGCAACATAATTACGCGTGAGCGATAAGGATGGGTAGCTTGGGCCAATGGACAAAATACTACGTGCTCAGCGACCAGACTTATAATGGAAACGGACTAATGGTGACGTCATTCATTTTGATAGGTATACAGGGATTCAGTTCAATTCAGTTCTTTATTGCTAATCCACACGTATGAAACGTACGGATGGAAATGGTAATAAGTACATGCCTACATGTAGGTACCTACTCGTAAATCTAAGTCAAAGTCAAAATTTCTTTATTTGTTTGGACTAATAAATAGTTCTTACAAATCGTCATTTTGCTCTTAAGGAGCCTCTACATGTCTCATAATCTTTTTACCCTACCAGCGCTTCGAGACCAACATTTGGCAAGTGCTGAGAAGAAGCGCCGCAACAAACTCAGTCACCACTGTCTGCCGGTTAATATAAATAAATAGAAATAGTAGTAGTAGGTACATTCGATTCAGGAGCAGTTCACTGAATTTACCATGCATTCTTGTATGGTGTATCTTATAAGAATGGGTATACAAGATTGCGTGGTATATTAAATTAGTGTAGATAATACTGTAAAGTTTAATCAAAATCTGTTCCGTAGTTTTTGCGTGAAAGAGTAACAAACATGCAGACATCCAAACTTTCGCATTTATAATATTAGTAGGACTAGCTTTCCGCCCGTGGCTTCGCCCGCGTGGAATTTTGTCTATCACAGAAAAACTTTATCGCGCGCGTCCCTGTTTCAAAAACCGTGATAAAAACTATCCTATGTCCTTTCCCGGGACTCAAACTATCTCTATGCCAAATTTCATCAAAATCAGTTCAGTGGTTTAAGCGTGAAAGCGAGACAGACAGACAGAGTTACTTTTGCATTTATAATATTAGTATAGAAGAAGTATAGATATAGAAACGAGTCATCTCAGCCAATTTTTAATGTCAACGTAATCATTCCAACCAACCCTGTTAGAAACGTATCCTGGAACTAATCTTGACAATAAAGTTGCCCCTGGTCATATTATGACCAGCGGGAAAGGGTTAGGGCTAGGGCTGCCATCCGTCCGGGTTTCCCCGGATCTGTCCGAGTCTAGAGGGGAGAGTTTTATTTGTTGTCCGGGTGCAAAAACCTTGAGCCTTGTGCCAATGCAGGGCAATGCAACTAAGTTTAAATAAAAACCTGGTCAACAGATCACAGAAACTAAAAGGAGATGTGAAAAGGGGGCGGGGCCGGTGTCGCAGCAATATGCCCAAAAATAGAACACATTGCTCGCGACAGCAATGATGACAGCAGCGACACACAGTCTACATTGATTGCGTAGTACCTTCTAAAGATATTCGAGCGTTGAGTACTGATATCGCAGTGGATAATGAGCACATTCAAACTGACAGAATACATTCAATCGTACGTCACTGCGTATCTAGTAGTGTGCGAACAAATAGTCGCACTCAATGCAATGTGTGCATGACACACAGTCTTCGCGACGCATTGTTTTTATTTTGATTACTACACACAAAGTAAGTAATTTCTATTGCGACACTGGGCAGAGTACTCACCTGCCATGTAGCACGTAACGTAGCATGTAACGTATCCAACCTTCAAGTGAGTACGTCTCGTCCACGGTCATCGCGTATCTAGCTGCGAGCTCCTGGATCCTACTGCGAGCCTCCTTTGTGCTCGCAGTGATACCGCCACTCGGCGGGTCGCTGCGATCTCCCTGCGAATCACGCGCGAGCAGCTCGCAGCGGGCTCGTGCCTATGTACTCACTTGATACAGTATCTGATACATTACATGCTACACGGCAGACACGGCTAGATGAGTACTCTGCTCTGGGTGTCGAAATCGGCGCATTAGTTGGCATCTCTCTAGATCTCTATGCAGTTGATATCCCGTTTCTGGGCGCCAAAATCCGGGGTTTTCATGCGTATTGTCCTAGTTGTCAAATTTTAGAGGTGGCAACCCTGGTTAGGGCAAAAATTGGACAACGTTCTCCCAATATGTCGCTGGGTTGCTTATCCATTTGGTCCAAAAATACCCTATTTACGGATTGACGCATCTCAGTCCCTTCGGTAGGGTTAGATAGGGATGTGCCCGATTAAGGGGTCGAAAATATCGACATAGTTTGTTGACACTGTTGTTTTATTTTATTTACAAAATTAGTAGTTTCTTAAATTAGATAAATAATATAATTTTAAACTCCTTGAATAAAATAAAATAAAATAAAAAAATCGTTCAAATCGCTGACTTGGGGAAAGGTGCCCAGAAGGCTGGCCACTAGTGGCCACATTGCCACGCTGGATGGCAAGGCTAATTCGTTGGCCAAGGTATAGGCCAGCCTTTGGATCGTAACATGTCTGAACTAAGCGCTTAGACATCTTACGAAACAGTTTCCTTGTAAAATAAAAAGATTGTAGACTTTCGCATCCCATCCCATCACATTACAAATAAAGCTATAGGTAAACAAACTATGATCACAAGAAGACAAAACAGCAACACAGCCGAAATTAAGCGTCATGCTATAAACTCATGTATAAATGTCGCGGTGAGGCCTGTAACTCTTTATAATAGCGATATTTTATTGTATTGGATTGAATGGAGAGAGGTGTATAAAAGAATTTGAAAATATCGATCCAATGTATTTGCAATTTCAAAAATCTGGGGGCACGGTAGTGCCCCCGCCAAGTCGAGCGCGATATCTTTGACAGGTTATCGTTGAATGAAAAAAAAATAGGTATTTTAAAATAGGTTATCTTTTAGACAAAGCTATGAAATCCGACATCAGAATCGAGCGTCTCAAATCAACCTTCATAAATAGGTTCAAACAAAACGATTCAGCAAATAATAAATAATACCCAAGCAAATTATAGTAGAAGGGCTATTTGAAAACAACACAACACCATGCAATTTTGTGCGATGTTTAACGATAACATAACTACTGTTTTACTTTCATGGTAATAAAGTTTTTGGACGTTTATGAACGATGTGTGACCATAAAGAATGAGAAGTGTTTCTTTCTGATTTTGTTCTGTAATTTTTAACCGACAATAAAAAGGAGGCTCGCTATCTATTCCACCGTATTCATGTAAAAAAATGCATAGTTTTTGTTAAGTTAGTCTATGCCAGCTTCTAAACGTGCCCACAAGTGTGTGTATCTTCGCATATCTCAAAAACTTGAAGTTAATTTGCAATTTAAATTCATTTTGATTAGTAGGTTAATGAAAGAAAATAAAAATACTTTACACAATTTTGATCAAGCTGTGACACTTAGGCACGTAAAAAACAAGCCAATAAAAGACGAAACCTTTTTTGAAAATACTTGAAGTACTTGCTTGAAAATACTTAAACTTCTTTATTGATAAAACCTTTTTTTAAAACACTTGGACAATAAGCTAGTTTATCGATATTCCGCGAAAAGCATCGATACGTTAGGACAACACTAGCGGGGCCTAAGATGGGAAAAACGAAAGGGACGCAGCTATTTTATTGTGTCAACATTCCCGGGAACTGTATTTGTTGTTACATATTTTTTAATGATAATAAAGACATCTCAGTATGGCTTTTCTTTCGTTCTTTATTAAGTTGATTAAATTCTGTAGATTGGTAGTAAGATTAACACTAAAATACTGTTCAACCCGGAAAGGGGTCGTAACCGTATCAACTCGAGACGGTCAGTATTATTTATGAAACTCCATACTGCAACGCACAATCCTCACCGTAACGTAAACGCCTCGCCTCACGGTTGACAGCGCGCGAAAGGCGATTCAGTGTTGATTGATCCCTTTCCGAGTTGACAAGTCTACTATGATAACTGCTTACCTGGCAGCCGTGACGTTGCGTCGCGTCTGAGTCGCATTCCAGTGAGCTGCGCAATTTGCTCTATCGGGATGTACCAAACTTTACCCTAAATATGGCAAATGCTGAGAAGAAACGTCGTACAAACTCAGCCACTATTTTCTCAAAAAGATAAAACAATAAGTAAGTAAGTAAGTAAGCATTTATTTGCTGCACACAAAGTCACATACATAGTTCGACAAAATAACATAATACAATATTTAACATGCACATTCAAAAATAAAAAAAAATAAAATAAATAACAATGAGAAATTAAATAATGTGAGCAGAGTTGCGGCAGCAAAAGGTCTCCGTCTCAGCATGTGTCACAAGCTAATGCCTGGACGCTGATTTTCAGACGTAACGTACGACGTAAACGACGTAGATAATAACTTGTACCTTGTATTATTCTACAACTGAGCTGACGCACCTCGCTAGAATGCGACTCTCTCGCACTCACCCGCGTTCGCCGCGTCGATGTGACGTCACGGCCGCCAGGAACGCAGTTACCGACCGTGTTGTATTTCTAATGTTAAAATAATACTCAACCATGTTTTCATTGTTTCAGATTGCTGCTCAGCCAATGCAAAAGGGAACAAAGAAACAGGTTAAATCTTTTATTTATTTAGAAAACGTATGATAATTTATGAGCACACTTATAGCTGAAAAAACAACGGTTTTGTTTATTTTACACAAACGGAGATGTGCCTTTGTGCTTCTATAACGCGGTCAGAAAAGGAAATTAATACAGAAGTTAGGTTTAAGTATTGTACCTATACTTTTTCTCGGAAATCTTTTCTTTCTACATACTCGTAGTTTGTGGTCACAACGTTGGCGTCTAACTATTGAATATGGATGATGACTGGGTAATGAAATCGAAATTCTATTTAGTCCGTCAGACAGATAATTAGAAAATATTAGACTATAAATTAAAAAATATTAGATAATATTTTAACTTTTTTAAATTTAAAGAAAATAAAAAATATGAGTCCAATATTTTCTAATTATCTGTCTGACGGACAAATAATTGAAATTTTGTCATCTAGCCTATTACCATGATCCTATCGGATCGCCGTAACAAATACGAAAGCAATATCTTTTTCAAACGATCCGTTTATTTCGATACACAATGCCATTGAAAACATTATGGTATTTCGATTTTTCTGGCATCTTGACTTGATTTGTAATCTTTTTGCTTTTTTGATATTCTATCAGTTTGTTTGAACGCGCTTATCTCAGAAACTACTGGTCCGATTTGAAAAAATCTTTTTGTGTTTGATAGCCCATTTATCGAGGAAGGATATAGGCTATATAACATCACCCTACACCCAATAGGGGCGGAGTTATAAAGAAAAATGTTGCGAAAACGGGAAATATTATTCAAACTATCTTCGTGCTCAGCTAATTTTTACTAATAAAGCACTGAATTGTAGAAAAGAAAATCTCTACCATCTACAACTTTTGGTGCATACAAATGTTGAAACTTTTATCAAATGAGGAGTCGCGACTGCACCCATTTTGAAGTCTGGCACTAGATTGGTTTCATTTCAGTCGAATTTAGTTTTAGACTTAGAATATTGGAATAAGGTTTCAATTTCTTTAATTAAGTCAGAGATCAGAATGTTAGTTTTCACTTTGGCTGATGACTTTTTCTTTAATGAAAAATGGTTTCAATTTTATTTAGGTAAGGTAAACGGCTACTAGTTCGTGATAGTACGTAAGTTCGTAAGTTTTTTTTCTAGCTCAAAAAATAAGCAATTGGAATATTATACATAAAAATTCTTCATTACTACAAAAACTCTATTATTTAAGCTATCTAAAAAACCAAGTACCAACATTGTGGCGCCAAAAATGAGAGCAATACGAAGCTTCAAACTCTCAAAGAGCCAAAAACAGCCGTGCGGCTTGCAAAGGTTGTTCTCACCGTAAGGTTAGCGCTCCAACTTCTTAAGCTTATAAAAAGGCGAAGGAACGTCCATTTAAATAAAACTTGTAATAGTGGTTTCATGTGTTCCTTGACAATGGTTTTGGCTTAGAAAAAAGTTATATGAAAACGTAGAATTCCTTTAAAATTGCGATTAATTGACTCACGAAATAGCGTACATATTATTTTTCGGATGTCTCCTATTTCGTGACACTACCGATTCAAGGATATTATGGATAACATTTTGATGCTTGGTTTTTAAATAATTATTTATGATAATTTAAATGTAAGTTATGAAACAAATAATGCATTTATTTAAGTTTCTCATGACCTAAGTTCGGTATATGTTTCGTTCACTAGAATTTATATGACACGAGTTTGAAGTTCACATATATGACCAATTTTAAGATAAATTAGCATAAGTAGTACCAGCATAATTTTGGTTTTATTTCGATTTGTTTTATTTATCTTTGTTTATTTGTATTGTATTTGGGATAGATAATAGTTAATTGACACATTTTGACAATAATCCATGAATTTTACTTGGACAATTTGGAATAATCAGTATCACGAAACAAAGAACCGTATTATTGTTACTTTTTTCCAAGTTCGTGATATATAAACGTATGGTGTTAGGTACTTTTATGACACATACCATTAAAGAAATCGACATATTTTTTAGTTTTTAATACTTACCTACCTAAGAACCATTAGAAATGTGGGGGGGTAAGTCCCCCTCACATTTCTAATGGTTATATAAATATTTTCACATATCGCTAGAAAAAACAAATCAAAATTTTATACTAGACACATTATTTTCTTATGAATATTTCAGGTAAGTAATATCGACAATTTCACATAATTATTTTATTCTACATTTTTATTCTCGTTTTTAAATTTATTAAACCCTTAATCATTATTAAAATATCCTAACTGGATGCATAAAACCTTATCCCGAAATAGGGGACATGAGTTCACGAACTTAGAAACAGAGCAAAATTTTGTCACGAAACAGGATCCAAACAAGAGGTCCGCAGAACAATTAATATAAAAAAAAGTTCAAACTATATAACTATAAATTATGTATTAACTTACTGTCAAAAGACCAAAGTTTAGCATACAAAAGCTTTCATACTGATATCATGTTTGGTTATTTTTAAATAAAATGTTAAAGTCGTAAGAGCCTTAATATACCGAAGTAGGGGGCACTTACC